TTTGCATTTGCACATAACATACATTCAAGCCCATTAAAATGCCAATACGACCATTTTGTTATTCTAAAATTTGAATGCGATTCTTGCCCTGTACCCCCCACAGTTCACATATCCGACCCCCGGTTCGATTGAACAGATAATTTACATACATATGTGTAGAGTGCGATTTTAATACTTATAATGAGATTTAAATACCGTACCTCCGTTTATGGTGCTATAAATTATAAAACCAGTTGATATATTTTTTGTCGTTTAATGTTTAGTGTTATTGTTTATAGTGTTATCAATTTGCATGTTCTTAAGTACAGGTGATTCCCGGTATACTTCGGTATTCTGGACCTGAACGTTGCAAAACGATTCATAACGAGGACCTTTCCCCACCAGAGCGCAATCCGCTAATGAAAAGAACACGGGCCGGCGGGAACACGTGCTTCCATGGGCAGTGGGGGACAGGGCATGGTTGTATTGCCTACAGGTGCCACCGGGAATGTCCCCCAAGTTGCTCCGCCCATGGCGGGGTCAGGTAGAGGTCATAGAGGTGGGTGATGTAAAGACAATGCGTCAACTAAGGGACAAGTGGTGACAACAAGATAGAGAGAGTTCGAGAAGGGAAGGCGAGACCAAGTGTGGACGGAGGTTCACGCCGAGAATGAGAGAGGGGGAGGAACGAGGTTTGGGGCTGTGTTGGCTGGTTGCTGTCTCGTCGTCGTCGTTGCTATATCGTGACGCCTGGGGTCTGAAACCGCGTTAAAGGCTAAATAAAAGAGTTTGGAGTCATTACAATTGTAACGATTCATTATTTCACGGGCTAATATTGGGTTTTTGCGATTATTTTACATATTCATACTGAATATTGCTATTTGATGCCATTGAGATGGAACATTCATCGAATAGTGGACAGCTTGATCCTAATACCACCAAAGTGTTATTCAAATAATTGTGTAATGCGGTTGTAAACGGCCCTTCTGAGGTGCCGTCAGGGGGGGAGGAGTTAGGTCACGTGGGGGGAGAGGGGTTGAGTATAGAAGGAGGGGAACCGGAAGAGCAGGGGGAGTGACGGGGAGCCAGGAACAGAGGAAGGCCACGTAGGGCGAAGCGGGGTGTGGCGAGATCGCCACGAACACGGGGGAAGCGAGGATCGGCACCGTAGGCCAGCGGTGACCGACCCGAAGCAGCAAGGAGGCTGCAGTCAGCAGCGGGGCTGCACAGAGAGAGTGGGCAGCGGGTCTGCATACAGTGACAGCCAGAGGGTCTGCACATAGGGGTAGCAGCAAGTCTGCAGGGAGGAGGTTACAATAGATGAAGCAGAGAGTCAGAGGGGAGAGGAAGCTATAATAGCAGTGAATAGCCGGGGGCTACAAACACAGGAGTTATAACAGAGTGCCGTGTGGGTAAAGACGTGAACCTGAATAAAGACACGAAGACAGAAAGAAGTGTTCGAGTCCTTTTATTACACTGGAGTCAGAAGTGAAACGGCATGGCGAAACAACTGAGGAAGAAGAATATCCCATCTCCGGCGTCGGCTTCATCATCGGACGACGACGATCTTCCTCCTGAGGTCGGCTTCACTTCGGCGGAGGGAGAGATCCGTGAGGGCCCAGGTGTGGAGGAGGTTGCCGCTGCGCCCGACCCATCTGCGTTGAAGGACGAAGATTTAAGATGGACCCGGATGGCGGAGCAACTGGCGACCCTAAAAACCGTCATCACGGAGTTGTGTGACCTTGTCACGCCAAGGGCGGCGTTGGAAGGTGATGGTGGTGATCGGCAGGAGCCCGGGTCG